GAATAATGATCGCCGCGCGGCGAGATCCCCCCGGCCCCTCCTCGCTCGCTCTCTCTCTCTCTCTCTTTCTCTCTCCCACTGTCTCTCCCGGCGTTCTTCCTTTTGCAAGCCCAACGAAAAACCCAATCAATCCATGACGTACGAGACTCGCGATTGGTCTCGCCCTAGGCGTCTTCTCTTTTGGACTCCGGCGTCCTTTCGGGATCCGGCGAGGCTCGTTCTAACGAACGAATTAACTGCGTTTGCCACCACGATCCTTCTTGTCGGAGTATGTTCGAACGATCAGCTGGAAAGATGGATTGCACCGTCGAACCTTGAAATACCTCGCAGCTTTTCCCCCGTAGAGCTTGCGGGCTCGGCTAGAGCCCGACAGCTGACTTTCGTGCTGTGGATTTTGCATCGTGGTGTTCAACTTCGAGACAAGAAATCTGTTCTTAATTTCCATCAGCCGAGGACTTTGTTGTTTCAGATCTGCTGAAACAATCAGTTGTTTGTTTATTCTATAATATTAATTGAATTAGGTTGTGGTTTAAATTTCTATCCGTTCGGTTATTCTCCAGATCAATTTGTTATTTGGTAAATCGATCAAACGACGAAGTCGATCGATTCTTCGGCCTGAGAACGCTCGCGCGTGCTTTTATGGGCATTCGACAGAGTTTTTCAGGTAACGGACGGAAAACTTGTCGCAGCAACGACTCGTCCACTTCTTATTTCCATCGGAATAATCGGACTCGTTGCCTTATTTTCCACTGTCCTAGAAATTTGTTCGGTTTTACGCAGCCTTTCTCCAACACACACCGTAAATCATAGTGCATTTTCAAGACCTTGGAGATCAGGGGCAGCGAACGAATCCCAGTTTTCCACGTCGGGAGACCGCGAAGCCGGGTTTAATGGCTAGATAAATCCATCGGAGCCGATTATTGCCGGTAAATTACAGCGTATCGTTCCGAGGCGAAGGAAGACCGTGCTGAAAACTGGTCCACGGGATCGTCCTCCCCTCTTCCGGCTGCGAAGCGGCGTAGAACGCGGCCTGGGCTCATAGACCGGTGTGCCCCGATTGATGGATAGACACGTTAAGGTTATTTATAGCGGCTGTCTCTATTATTGTTCTAACACGAATCGAGTTGGCGGCGGCTAACGATCGGTTTTTGGTTCACGTGGCAGCTGGTATCCCTAGGTGTGGTCATTAATAAAACCGTAGACCGTAACAACGATCTTACACGTTCATTCTCGTGCGCGCCGCGTTGGCGGAACAAAGGAATCGGCCTTCTGTTCCCCGTCAGCCAAAGACCCGGCCGCGATGAAATTTTAAAAGCCGTCCGCTCGAACGCCTTCGAGTCGCGAAAACAGGTGTACTTCGTCGCTTTGGAAAATTCGCAAACAAGTTGTTTTATCTGGACATACGTCGCTCGCACCGACGGCTTCCCGTTGCCGATTGCCACACCGAACTGGTCGCATTTCCATCGTTATCGCTCCTCTTCCGTTCGCTACATGTAATTACCGGACCTTGTAACACGCCGGCTGCCAAACGGAATTGCTCGGCTTTCGCCTGGAAATTTTTGCAAAAGCGCTGCGATTATTTACATAATTGTTGCGCGGGCGAGAAAGGAATGTCTGTTTTACATGCATCGATCGCTCCAGTTCAGTTACCAAAAAATTCTGTTCCGAATGTAATACATTGCGCGCGGACACGCGTCCGTCCCAATTAACGCGAACGTAATTCATTCGGCTGTTCGAATTAAAATTTTATCGTACTCGCACGCGTGAGTAAAATTATTGTTATCGTCGAATTAAAATATTCTCCCACGGTTTCACAGTTTCGATTTCGATCGATTAATGGATTTTGGTTTCGATTCATTTTCATCATAAATTGAGCGACTTCTATATAAAGTAAATTCTCAAATTCTCCTTCGTGCTGCTTATTTGTCTGCCATAACTCCATTATATAAGTTAACGTGTGTTTACAATCAGTGAACTATGCTCGAAAACGCCTGAAGGAACTCCTCGATACAACATCGTGCTCCGTAACTTCGCCGTTTCTTCGAATCGAAGTACGAAATCGCAGAAACACTTTTCCGATATGTGCATCGAGAGGATATAGTAGAAAAACAGCAGTCGCAGACCGGCGATTAACGCGAACTAATGCAGGCTCGCGTGCGAGCAACCTGCGAGATGAACTCGGCAACCGGGATTTAATTCGCCGGCTGTTTTCTTTTTTTTAAACAACCTCCCGTTATAAATCTCGCGTGTTTTTAATGAACAAGCCGGCCCCGGTCTCGTGTCGCCATCGAATAACGCTTCCGCGGGACAAGAGAGCTCCAGAGCCGCGCGATTAGACGCTCGCACAGCTAATGGCTGTAATTTTCTCCTCACCGGTTAATGGCGGAGTGTGTCGTCACTGCGGCTAACGACGCTCGTTACTGAATCGTCGACGTGCATACGCGATAAAAATCAGCGGGAACAATGGAGGAATCCACCCCCCTCGGGGCGCATATTATTTCGCAGTTACGCTCCAAATTGCCTGGCTCGATAATTAGCTTAACCCCGCGTTTAAGAACGTCGCCGTGGATCTTCGTGGTCATTTTTAAAAATTTCATACATTAACCCACGACCCGAGATAATAATTATCAAGCCGCGATCCGTGAGACTGTTGCAATTTCTTAAGCAATTAGCTGTGTTAGACGAGCCCGCTCTCGCGCGGTGTAAAAATTTGCTGTTTAAATTGTAACTTCAGCGAGACCGAAAATACGTTCGTTAATTTTGCGACGTTTCTTACATTCGGAGGCCGAGACGAAATGAAACGAACAAATAAAACGATGAAAATAATTGTTACCAGAAAGCGTACCATCGCTTACGTTTCGCGACACGCTTTAGGTAGACACTGTACACTTAACAATTAACTTGTCAAGCGGTATCGCTGAGAGAAAGACGTGTGCTCGAGCCTCAATTGTTAACAAAATTCTGGAAAGTTTCACCGATCTTGTTGCGCGCGTTAAGGGCTGATTAAAGAGAAATGGTTCGTGTTTAAAGTCGCTGGCAAAGCGGATTGCCTCGTTAATCTGGCAGATCGCTGCAACGTGGTTTGGCGTGTTAATTACGGTCTACCGACTTGGGAATTTATGAATCTTATCAGCGATGGTAGATAGCCTAACAAAGTGTAAAAGCGTTCGATGTTTCTGCCAAGCGGCCGCTTCATTTCCATTCATTTGTATGTGCGGATACGAAAACCGCTCTTGCGCGCGATAAATACGTGACTGGAATCGAATTTTGTGTGACGTTACCGTCACACCGATAATTACAAACGCATTCGCACCGATCCAACTTCGACCGGCGCGTCGTTGCTGCGTCGCGCAGCGCAAAGAACACCCTCGACGAACTATCGAAACAATCCGGTACAAATCGAATTTAAAAAAAATGATCTATTATATTTAGCACAATAAAAGTCTGACGGTCGTTGCCTCGTTTCAGCCGAAGAAAAACGATTTCGATCGAACGTGAAAAATCGCAGAGAAATCGTCGAATACGACGTCAACGCGATTCGACCGTCGACGCTTTTCAATTTCCGACATTAAACACGTCGATCGACGATCGCGGAGCGGGTCGCGCGGGCGCAGCCCCGAAGCGGGCAGTTAACGAGCGGAGAACGGACGCGGAGCGGAGCACAGCATCTGCCGCAGGATAATACATTTGTCGGAGCAAAGTCGGGGAGGCCGCACGCCTCGAGAATAAAAAGGGAAGATGAAAGAGCTAGATCTGCTCGGGCGAAATTTTTGTATAAAGCAATTTCGACGCCGGTATGATAAAATCCACGTCAGCGAGGGAATGCTTGTCGACTCGAAGAAATGAATTAGCTGCCTCCCGGCCGGGCGCCGGAGTGGGGAGGAACAAAAGTATGGAGTAGTGGGCATCGAATGGTGGGAGGGGAGGCGATGTGGGCGTGGCCGGTCGGGGAGGGGCGAGAATGTGGGCGAGATCTCGGCGCGGAGCGATGGTGGGGGCTGGAAACGGGGCGGGGAGAAGCCAGCCGGGCGCTGCCACTGCCGACGTTCCCAGTGGCGCGGATACGGTTTCTTCGTTGCGAAATTGCCGGGGAAACGTAATCCGCGAGCCTTCTTGCTTTTTCGCCGTATCAAATTTGCCCAGTTCGGTCCGCGACAGAGTCTCGAAACAATCGTCGCCGAAGTTATGAAATTTCGCGAGGGAGCGATTCGAGCGACGATCGAATCACGGGGAGTCGCGAGGATTGGCCAACGGTGTTGCCGAGTTACGCTGTTCCAAGAAGCAATATTGCACCCGGGACGATGAGGCTTCTTGCCGGGGGTGATAGAGGGGACAGGACAAAAATCTTGTCACTGCCGGAACGAGACTGGGAGGTTGCAGCGGCATCGATCGCGGCGGAACTCGAGCCGGCCCCCTACTATCCGTGCCACTGTTGGTGGGGATGAGGGGCCGGGGTGGGGGCAGGGTAGAGCCTCACGGCGGGAGGCGGAGCCAGCGGCTGAAGAGTTAATAGAGATACAATCGAGGGTGTCTAGTGCACTGCACTCCAGGCCGGGGCGTAGGAGGAGTGAAGGGGCGCGGGACGCGGGGTACCGGGGGGTGCGGCGGGGCAGGCGGTAAGTAGGGACCACAGGTCCCCTAGTTTAGACATCACTGAGCGACGGATGGACAGCCAGTCAGACCCGTCACAGCACTCGCTCGAGTCCTCGGAAACCTCGAGAAAAGCCAATACCAAGGAGACCTCTTCTCCGGGCTCGGTGGCGACGCACCGTCGAACCGTTAATCTCGCTCCGGGCTACAGGGACATCGGACGCGGCGACGCGTTTCGCAGTTAGGCGAGCCTGCCACGTGTGCACTTGGGTAGCAGGCGTGTTACGCAATCGGCGCGGCAGCACTCGGGAAAACTCGGTGACGATCTGTGTCGGCGAACAGTGATCGGAGAGCGAGGCGGCGAGAGAAAGAGAGAAAGAGAGAAAGAGAGAGAGAGAGAGGGAGATATATATATATATATACATAGAGAGAGAGAGAGAGAGAAAGAGATATATAGAGAGAGAGGGAAGACCTTGTGACACGTGCGCGCCAGAAACTTTGCAGAATAGCTAGTGAGTTAGTGTTCCAGTGGCTGATATCCTGACTGACAGGCGTATCGTGTGAATCCTGTGCACCTTCGTAACTACGATGGTAGAGGGCTAGAGACGTTCGTTGACCGGTACAATCGAAAACAGATCAGCGGGTAGAAGAGGAGGGACTCCTCGATCCGTAAGATGAGCGTAGCTCTCGTGACCATGGACTCCGCGTACGGTCTGCGACTGGGCCTCGGCAGCCACCACCATCATCACCACCATCATCCACATCGGGTGCGGTCCCCCGAGAGCCACGTGGTGCCCCATCATCAAGAGCAGCCGCAGGACCGCAAAGAGGACATCGAGACGCCGCTCAGGTTCAGCGTGGTGAACATCCTGCGGCCCGACTTCGGCCGCGAGGCGATCCTCAGCACGAAGACGACCAAACAGTCCAGCCTGACGACCGGACACCCGACCACCACCATCCCGGTCCCGATCCCACGGCACAGTCCCCTTTCTCTGCCGCGGGATCTCAGCCTGTCCTCGAGCAGACTTTCGCCGTCGAGGCCCCAGCCGGGCAGTTTTTCGGTGCACCGGGACAGGGACCTGTTTTCATCGCATTGCGGACTCACTTCGCCGCTGCAGAGGACCACCGGCCTCAGCAGGAGCGGCAGCCTAGAGAGCCTCGCCAGCAGCCGGAGCTCCGTCACCGGAAGCTCCGTCACCGGTGCACCGTCGCTGGGATCCACGACCTCCACTATCAGCGGGGACTCCCTCAACGGAGACAGCACCTCTGCCAGCAGCGGCAACAGCTCCGCCACACAGCAGACCTCGCTGAACGGCCAGAGTCCTTGGCCGGCGTGGGTCTACTGCACCAGATACTCGGACAGACCGTCTTCCGGTAAGTTTACATTTTTCCAGTCCCAGTTATTGTAAGCTAATTAGCAATGTACCGACGTTTCTTGCGAGCACCGTAGATCTTTTTATTTCCTCGGCTAGTCCAAATTAGGTTCCCCTGTACTTACCAGGCGGATACGGTAGAAGCAGAGGATTAGAACAGGTGGAAATTACCAAAATAAATTACGTAATGCTTCTCTGTCTGCGAGAAGAGCTTCTTCATTGATCCGATCCTAATTGTTGCTCTAAACCGTGGCTATTAGATAATACGAATATGACAATGTGATGATCCCAGGAAACGGTAACGATTATCGAAGGCTCGCGTTTCCGCTGATAGACAGATACGTCTCAGTTAATCCCGCTATCGAGGAAGTGACCCCCGGGGAGGGGAGGGAGGGCGACCATAGTTGCGGTTCCCGTTCGAGCATTTCTCCGTATCCGTTTAATCAATTAACTTTGGCGACCGTTACATCTTGGAAACCAGTTTCTATGGAAATCAGCCGCGTTTCCCGCTAGCGCGGGTTCACTAGCGGTGAACAGCGAACAGCGGGAGACGCTATCGAAAAATCGGTAGCGCGGCATAAAGCTCGCCTAATTACAGCTGGCTGGTGCGTGCCACCTCCGCGAGCCGCGCGCGCGCGCGATCAGATTCCATGAAGAAATACCAGTTTCCCGTGCCGTCGTTCCAGTTCCGATTTAGTGTCACCGGCGCTGCCCCGGCTGTGTGCCCCGGGATCTTAACTGTTACGGGCTGCATAGCTTATGTATAATTGCCGGCCTGAGAACGCCCGCTTTCCCCGGGCCGTTCGCGGGGCGGGGTGAACGTACGACTCGATACCACCTGCACCCGTTCGCAGAACCTAATTGCTCACAACCTATATCCGCCGATCTACCCTCCGCTATCGGTCTGTCCTAGATACTGGTCCGCGTGTCTTCGCTCCTGCGCCCAGGGTGGTCCTAGAGCCGACGAACGCCGTGCTAATTACCGCCGATCGCGATCTGTGTCTTCCTTAATTAAGGGCCCGATGCGCCGTGATCGATCGATCTCCGGGGCTCGATCGGACCACCGAAAGAAATTTCGTGGCTCTTTCGCCAACTTTGATTGATCGCGCGTCCCGATCTACTTACGTTCTGTTTATTATCTTATGTTTATTAGCTTCCGTACACTGTTCGTATCGTTCCTCAGTTTTTTTTCATTGAAATTGTTCCAAGGGTTTTTTTTAACTGAACTTGTTTCTCGGTTCTTAAACTGAAATTGTTTTTTCTTTTTTAATTTAGATTATTTGGAACATATGTCGCACGTTTCTGTTACTGTTTCAGTTGAACTGCAGATTTTGAATCTCGCGTTTGTGGATTTAAATTGTTACTCGGTTTACAAGCTTATTCCAGTTTATTTATAAACTGAAATAGTTCCTCGGTTTTTGAACTTAAATTGTTTGGAACGTATGTCGCACGTTTCTGTGTTACTGTTTCAGTTGAACTGCAGATTTTGAATCTCGCGTTTGTGGATTTAAATTGTTACTCGGTTTACAAGCTTATTCCAGTTTATTTATAAACTGAAATAGTTCCTCGGTTTTTGAACTTAAATTGTTTGGAACGTATGTCGCACGTTTCTGTGTTACTGTTTCAGTTGAACTGCAGATTTTGAATCTCGCGTTTGTGGATTTAAATTGTTACTCGGTTTACAAGCTTATTCCAGTTTATTTATAAACTGAAATAGTTCCTCGGTTTTTGAACTTAAATTGTTTGGAACGTATGTCGCACGTTTCTGTGTTACTGTTTCAGTTGAACTGCAGATTTTGAATCTCGCGTTTGTGGATTTAAATTGTTACTCGGTTTACAAGCTTATTCCAGTTTATTTATAAACTGAAATAGTTCCTCGGTTTTTGAACTTAAATTGTTTGGAACGTATGTCGCACGTTTCTGTGTTACTGTTTCAGTTGAACTGCAGATTTTGAATCTCGTGTTTGTGGATTTAAATTGTTACTCGGTTTATTAGCTTATTCCAGTTTATTTATAAACTGAAATAGTTCCTCGGTTTTTGAACTTAAATTGTTTGGAACGTATGTCGCACGTTTCTGTTACTGTTTCAGTTGAACTGCAGATTTTGAATCTCACGCATTGGATTTAAATTGTTACTCGGTTTATTAGCTTACTTCAGTTTATTTATAAACTGAAATAGTTCCTCGGTTTTTGAACTTAAATTGTTTCTGTTACACTTCCAGTTGAACTGCAGATTTGAAACGCCAATTGTGGCTTTCACTTTTAGTTTCATTTGAAACTGTTATCTCAGTCCTCGTTTATCATCCATTTTGGAAACCCAGTTTCGCTTTAATGTATTGTTTAAATTTACTCCTTACCCTAACAAGGAAAGAAGAATCATTTTTAGCTGCAATTCAGAATTAATTCAGTCTGCTTCAGTTTGTAGAGTATTTACTTAAAAAGAATCTCTTTATATGTTATTAACCCTTCGCACTATAACAACGAGTCCGACTCGTGATGAAGATTTTATACGCAATCTATTAAATACAAACATCCTTCGTCTCTTCCGAATGAAAATAAAATTTGATTGTTCTGTTATCAATATCTAGGATCCAAAGTGAACGAAGCATACAAAAAATACAAGAATTGTCTCGTTCTATCTATCTTCTATCGAGGACAAAGAACAGCTGATCAAGGTAGCTGCAAATGAAATCATAGTGCGAGGTGTTAAAATATAATAACGTTTAAATATAATAGCGTTTGCAGAGAGCATAGCCGCCCAAGAAAAAAAAAACAAAAGGCACCAAACAGCACGCTTGCAATTTTCAAACCTCGAAGTCTGAACAGTTACTGAAACACCAGAAAAGTATTCCGCGACTTCCTGAAAGCGAGAAAGTGATTTCCTCGGTAGAAAAATTTCTCGCTAATATTCTTTACGCGGTCGTGTTTTTCCTGGTCGATCGACCGCGGTTAGGAGCAGCTTCGAAAGGAAGTGCCATTAGAATTTTCAGTAGCGGTAGCGATTTGTCCCGCGGAACAAGCGGTTAAGAAAGTGAACGAGCCTCGGCCCGGCCGCTGATAGCGGCCGCGTGTTTCGATGTTATGCCACTTATAAATATTCATCGCGGCGAACATGGGCTGGCCGGGGCCAGCGGTCACGACTGCGAGAGACCATTTTTCCGTCTCCCGGTGCTCGGGCACCCAATTTGGTAATACACCGTAATAATCTAGGCCTGGCCGATAGTCGCGACAGATAAAGGCGGCCGGGCTCTGTCTCTCTCTTTAGCCTAGCACTCGGAAAATAAAATCGGCGGCCGCGCAGATAGCCTTACCGCGGATTCGATGGTACCTCTCATTCGGCTCGGTTAATTGCCATTTACATACTCGTCCCGCGGAAGATTGGCAGAGTTCGAACAGTAAATCCGTCGCTCTGTCATTCGTCCGAACACGGTTCAACGCTTCGATCGTTCTACGAAACGATCGCGTAAAACATCCACGAACCATTCATCGTTCGTTTTCGCTTTCTACTTTACGGCGAGAAAGTATAGCTCGCTTATCAGCTTGAATAGAAATATGGATATTTCTGTGAACAGTATACGAGGGTATACCTTCTCTCAATGCTTTAACCAGTTACTTGTTTTTAACGGGTACACTCGTCACGAAGTAATTGCACTGTTTTGCGTTACGACGAGTATACTCGTCGCGCGTAATAATTAATTACAAGTTGCTGTTTGAATCGCAACTTTTAGTGCCGGGCGAAACAGAGGTGCTTATGCGAAGATAACCGGCCGCATTTTACGATTTTACTAGGATTTGGAAAGAGGCTCATAAAAACCAAACGAAAAGCAATATTTACATAATTCAAAAAGCAGTGTATTAAGGACAGAATAGAGAATGAAACAGTGACGCTAATTTTTCTCTCGTAATGAAATTAGACTATTTATAACGTATTTATTCATTTATAACGCTACAAGGCGCGGGCCGATATATCGGCTCTGACACTTTTCGCCAGTGCAGCGAGGGCCGATATGTCGGCCTCCGGCACTAAAAGGGTTAATGAAAACGAAAGTATACTCGCAAATTTTACGGTGCTTTAAATATTCCGAACAAATAAAGAAATATAAATAATGAATAGTTATTACCAATGTGAACGAAGTACTATGCTTTGATAGTGATTGCTGCATCGCTTACTATTTGCGGCACATTTTAGGTAGAAACTTTTCTAGCCAGTAAAAAGAGAAAATGATTGGTGATTGGATCGTTAGAGGGATACGGATAATTAATAAAAATGTATTCTACACTTGCACAAAAATCTAGAGTCTGTTTACTCTTAAACGGAATAAGATGAAATATTTTACAGTACAACGGGGTAGTATTAGACGGCTAAAATCGACGGCTTCCTCCAAGTGTGATCACTTTAACACGAACACTCCTGATTACGAATACCTCGACGATTAATCTATAATAATTAAATTCGCCAGAATATTGGAAATTACTAAAACTACAAATCAACGAACGTTCTTCTCGATGCTCCGCCAATAATTCTCTTTATCGAGGTACACCTGATTTTTACATCGTTCGCCGCGTAACAATGGCTCGCGTGTAAGCGTGTTCGCAATTAAAAAATCGTCGAGTTAGCAGCGCGGAGGGTCGCGGAATTCGAGCAGCTCTCTCGCCGGCTCGGCCATTGTATGATAATAATTCGCGGGGCAGCGTATCTGGCGCGCGGATCGCCTGTTAACTAGAGATTAGAAGCGTCAGCCGGTGATTTGCCGCGGGAGGATAATCGAGCGTCTCGATCTATCTGTTTCCAGGGCCCAGAACGAGGAGGGTGAAGCGCTCGCCGAGCACCAGCAAGTCCGGCTCACCGGAAGAGAAGAGACCGAGGACGGCGTTCAGCGCGGAGCAATTGGCGAGGTTGAAGCGCGAGTTCGCCGAGAATCGATACCTCACCGAGAGAAGGAGGCAGCAGCTGTCGAGGGACCTGGGCCTGAACGAGGCCCAGATCAAGATCTGGTTCCAGAACAAGAGGGCGAAAATCAAGAAGGCCAGCGGCCAGAAGAACCCGCTGGCGCTACAGCTGATGGCCCAAGGACTCTACAATCACTCTACGGTGCCAGTCGACGAGGACGGCGAGGAGATCGTGACCGGTGACAATCATCCTCACTAGCCACGGAAAACGAGACCGTGCTATGTGAAATTTCAATCGATCGTCTCTGTTTCGTGGAAACTTCGTCCTGTGAAAATATCGCGTCGCCTGCGCCGATGTTGGCCCTTCGACGTCGCCGACATCATTGCGTCGGCAAAGCATCGAATTTATTAAGACGAAGACGAAACTAACGAGATCTCTTAATAAGGAGGAACGATGACGATTAAGAGCAGGAAATGGTTGGTGCTGCTCGAAGAGATTCTGCGTTAACCGATCGAGTACGACGACCCTAGTATCGTAATTACACTCTGGATCCTCCTACGATTTGCATGTTTTATGGAACGGGTTTTCGAAACAGACCGAAGGAAATTCTTTTTTCGCCAACGAAATGATTCCTTGCATCGAGGACACGCTAAGAATGGTATATTATTAATGGAATATCGATGGTACATTGTTTGATTAAAATCGCAGACCGCGAATTTCCTCGACAATTAAACGAAGGTTACGTCCGAGTATTTAAAAATGTAAGAATTTCGAATATCGTAAATGCTTGGCAGCGCGGACAAGTTCAATTCGACCGTGCTTAAAGCATCGAATAGTCTCGATGAATGAGAAGAATTCTGAACGAGACCAGCAGTTTCGTTCGAACGAAAGCGTATCAAGGGGTTAAGAACGGTGGACTAGTAGATTTCCAAAGTGAGTCGGTTTTATGGGACGGCTCGAATCGATCATGTTACCGGCCGGCATTTATCGTCGAACGATTTCGTGACGGTTTTATGGGACAGCTGGGTGGTACCTTATAGAAGTTTATGGATAATCACGACGTTGATTCGACGAACAGCGTGTGCTCGTTTCGCGAGCGACTCTTGGCCGAGACTGAGACTTTGTATTTCACGAGTATACATTACATATCGTCGTAGATACGGTTCTAGTACACGGGCCTCGATTATACCGATCATTATCGATTAGTCGCTTAAATTATTTATTTCCACTGTACATAGCTGTAAATAGTACTGGTCGTGATATGTGTATATGTACGATACGAGATAATGTTAATTGCCGCGAGAAGACTCTATGTGTGTACATTATATTATATTATATTATATTATATTATATTATATTATATTATATTATATTATATTATATTATATTATATTATATTACATATTATATTATATTATAATAAATCATATTATATTATTATTATTCCGTATGTATCGGTGCGCATGGCCGCGTAAATACGAAAACGATCTCAACACTGTATATTCCTAATTATTGTACAATCGTATGGACAGATCTATGTACGTGTATATATTCATGCATAAATATACGATAAATATAGATGTACGTGTATATGTTACCCTTTCTTTCTCTCTCTCTCTCTCTCTCTTGTTCTCTGTTTCTCTCTTTCTCTCTTTCTTCCTCTATCACACGCGTGTAGGCTCGGAAGGCATGCGCATATATGTACATCCCAGTGTCTCACAATAAGTGGTCGATATAATCTATGTAACCCGCTTACATGTTGCCACCGATTAAATCGAATTAAAAATACAACGCTCGATCGTTCCTTCTCTGTTATTTACCTGTCCTCGAATTCCTCGCGGTGCCCTCTTCCAAGTGTGCGCCTATTTACATCGGGAACACCGGTACGCGAAATTGTCCGTCCGGCAGATTAAATCTTTAGATTGCTACAGAAATAGACGAAACCCGGTTGTTGCCTGCTCCCATTCGAACAAAAGTAAAAACTATGCTCGACAATCTCGCCGCGGCGTAGAACGAATACACGATCCAGTTCGGCCGTGATTTAATAGCTTCATCGACGAAGGAAATTCCTCGAGTGACGAGACACGTAATTCGCGAATAATTGGCTGGCTCGGAAAATAATCGGGTCGCTGAATTATCGGGGGCCGGTGGCTGCGTAAATGAAAACATGCCGCAACTTACCGGAAAAGAAAATATCATGAACGATTCGCAAATTATACAACCGAGCGAACGTGACTGTGTATAGTCTCGCGTTTATTACGTTGATCCTTCGGTAACGAAGGAAAGTTCTAATTTCGGAAAATAATTGGCTGCCGAGCGGATAGACACGCGATCCTTTTTTTTTCTCTCAAGAAAAAAATATTGACGTAAATGAAGTAGCTTAAAATTGCGCAGATTCGATGCATAAGTTACATAAGATTCGATACACGACGATCGTAGTCGAACAAAAATTCTGACTATATTATATACAGGGTGTCCCAAGAATGTAGGGGATTCCTGAAGTCATTTGAAGCAACTTTTTCTTTAGCGAAAATGCAATCCGCGGCTTCGTTTACGAGTTATTAACGAAAAACAGTGACCAATCAGAGGCGAGATCATTTGGCACGAGACGGCCGAGCCAATGAGCGGAACTGGGCTCCGTGCACTCGTTGACTGGGCCGCCGCGCGCCAGTCGAGCTCGCCTCTTATTGGTCAGTGTTTTTCGTTAATAACTCGTAAACGAAGCCACGGAGAAAATTTTCGCAAAGGAAAAAGTTGCTGCGAATGACCTCAGGAACCTGCCATTTCCGGATTGCGAGACATTTTCGGGACACCCTGTATATATATTGATTTTATATTATATATAATATATACATATATTATATTGAATTTTACGAAACTGTAGACTTTATCGTAGCTCGCGCGAAACTCATAGCCGAGTGATCGGAAAAAACTGCAAGCTGCTTTGAAGATCGCGGAATGAAATTCCGAGAGACGCGACGCAAAGTTTCTTTTTTTTCGGATCCGTATTTACCGGCTACTAAATACATTGAGTTACGACTCGGCCACGGAGAAATCGTTTAAACGAACGAGGATCAAAATTCCTCGTTTCTCGAACGAGATCGCGATCGTAACGTTCTCCCGCCGTTAAAAACGAAAAGAAAACTGCGAATTCCGTTGACGCGTATTAAACGCAAGTTCGTATCCGATTGTTGAATGGCCCGGAAACATTCGCGCGGCGTATCGAATCGTAAATTCGGCCGCGAAATAAATTCAGGCACCGTCGGCGCGGCGCGGCGGTGCGTTTCGAATTTTTGCCGGCGCGGCGGAATGAAAAAAGGGCGGCGGGGCCGGGACGTTTACGGCCGATAGGTTTCCGAGGCGAAAGCGGCGGCAGCGAGCGTAATTAGTAGAATTTACGTGGCCGAAAAATATGCGAGGGCAAGGGGTCGAGCGAGCGGTTCTGCCGCCGAGCCGAGCCGCGGCGCGGCCCATTCGCTGTGACACGCCGTGACGCGCTAATTGATCCCGAATTAACGAGCCACCCGGTACGTCGAGCGCGACCGACAAATGGAACGTGGCGAGGATGACAGTGCGCGACTAGATCAAACGCCGTCCGAAAGGTTACCGGTGCCGATCGTGAACGGATAAGCGATATGCGAGCACCTGTCGGACGCTGTGCTGCCGGCGAGAACAGATTTACGTGTCCTTTTCCCAAGAAATTTGCTTCCGAACGAACGGCTCTTCCCCATTCACGCTGAAACGGTCGAACGTTCAAATAGCTCCGCAAGCTGCGTATCTTGTGCCCGCGGCGAACAGGTTTATGGAAACTGATGTTAGAATAGTCAGCTTATTTCATTAATCTTTCCACGTTCCATAGAAATAGCTGCACAAAAGATTCCGGGACAATATTTCGTTCGATTTTTGTTTACAAAATCGACAGATTATATTTTGCAATGTCACATTTTCGGGATACAGGTTTTACGATACAATTTTTATTATTATTCATTTATTTATTAAACGGGCAAAATACCCTCTTGATTACAAAATGTATACAGTGATTTAATTCGAAGATACGTAGCGTAAATTTCGCAGTTCATTCATGATTGACCTGAGAAGATTATCTTAAATGGAGCAGGGAAGTTGAAGGAGATGTTTAACCCTTTCGCGTCGAGTGTCGCGTATATGCGGCATCGAAATGAAGTGTATAGAGAAGACGCAGATGTGTAATTTGTAGCAAAAATGATAAAAGAACGGATTCGCGGTACGAGCGCAAAGATCGCGATGTTGGCCTTTGTATAGATCCTTGCTTTCAAATATATCGCACAGAATTATATTATTAGTTTTTACATATTATTATGTTTTAATCATTTTCGTCTCGTTATTAATTATATTAAACATTCAATCGTTAGGCTTTGTAATTATATAAATACCTATGTTACCTATAACTTTGTAAGTCTTTTTAAATTAAAAATGTAAATATACTTGTTACATTAGAGCAACGATTGTTCTATTCGGCACAGTTATTATTTAAGACTTGGAACAACATATATACAGAAACCACGCGCACTGTGCATATTTCTGGAGCGAGTTTCCGTTCGGTGACGGTACTTCGGCGGATGGAGCTGCCGTAGCGAAAGGGTTAAAGACTTGTATGTTGAGTAATAAAATCGTAATTCGATTTAGAATTGATTATATCTTGAGATGATTGAAAGGACATAGATCTAAATTCACGAGTAAAGTGAAAATCTGTGAATCGTCTAAGAAAGTGGTGAATTAACGTTCATAGATTTTTGATAAATCTTGTTTATTATCAGCAAATATAATAGAAAATTAATTTACGAAAAATCTGGAGAAGCTCGATCGCTTAGGGGTCGATCGTCTACCGGTCGACTCGTAGANTTCGCGGTACGAGCGCAAAGATCGCGATGTTGGCCTTTGTATAGATCCTTGCTTTCAAATATATCGCACAGAATTATATTATTAGTTTTTACATATTATTATGTTTTAATCATTTTCGTCTCGTTATTAATTATATTAAACATTCAATCGTTAGGCTTTGTAATTATATAAATACCTATGTTACCTATAACTTTGTAAGTCTTTTTAAATTAAAAATGTAAATATACTTGTTACATTAGAGCAACGATTGTTCTATTCGGCACAGTTATTATTTAAGACTTGGAACAACATATATACAGAAACCACGCGCACTGTGCATATTTCTGGAGCGAGTTTCCGTTCGGTGACGGTACTTCGGCGGATGGAGCTGCCGTAGCGAAAGGGTTAAAGACTTGTATGTTGAGTAATAAAATCGTAATTCGATTTAGAATTGATTATATCTTGAGATGATTGAAAGGACATAGATCTAAATTCACGAGTAAAGTGAAAATCTGTGAATCGTCTAAGAAAGTGGTGAATTAACGTTCATAGATTTTTGATAAATCTTGTTTATTATCAGCAAATATAATAGAAAATTAATTTACGAAAAATCTGGAGAAGCTCGATCGCTTAGGGGTCGATCGTCTACCGGTCGACTCGTAGAACGGCGATTCAATTTAAATGCGAGCCAAATGGGAATGTTAATTATTCGCTGGCCAGTTTGCGCATAGTTCGTTCGGCGCGTAGAACGAACAAACGAATTCATTCAATAAGAACGGCCGGTCGGCCGGTCGGATCAACACGGAACCTCCATTTGCCGAAATTTACGCGTCCAATAGCCGATGCCGATTAAACAGGACGCCGGGAACGGTATTAATTGTCGTTGCACCGAACGCGGAGGCCGCAACGAGGTTCAGCTAACCAGAGGACTGCGACGACACTCTCTTCCGGCGTTCGAAAACAACGGGCGAACGGTGGCCCGAACCGGGGATAAATTACAGAGTCGTTGTCCTTGGCCATTGTATTTAACCGTGACGATCCCTAATTGGTAATTCTATCGCCGGCCCGTAGCATTGTCCGACGTAATTGCGCGCAACGGTATTTTCGCGAAGCGACGCGACGCTCCGAATCGATTTTACCGACTTCGACTCTTCACGCGGACCGAGCGAAAAAAAGACAGCCCAGCAGGGCTCTCGTTCGGCAAACGTTCCTCCGGGCTCTTTTTTTCTATTTGTTTGTTTGTTTGTTTGTCAACGACGATTTCCCGCGCGTCGAAACCCGATCGTAATTTCCCAATCAACGGTAATTGCTGGCCGGCGGACTTTGCAATTTTAATTTCGACGCGATTTCCATTGGACCCGGTGAGAAATTGCGCGCGTGGAAATTGCTGGCAGAATTTTATTTGGCACCGAACAAGGATCGCAACGTATTTTATTTAACGCTATGAACGGACCGCGGAGCTTCGCGTAAAATGAAAATAG